AAAACCAAAAGTGGACATTTTGTCGCGGGGATATTTTGTCTGGTGATATTATGTCGGGGGATGAAAAATCATGGAACCGATATTTGGCCTCAACTGTTTTTAATTAATTAAACAATAGATAGCTAATTTTCTACGTATTATTTTAGTTATATGGGAATGTTCTTGTAATAGTAAAACCTATCAACAATATAATATCACTGTTCCTAAGTGGGTAAAAATAAATTTAAAATTAAATTCGCTTATAAAAGAAGAAATGGAAAGTACCTACGTAATAATGTAGTATGGTATGTATTCGAACCCGTTAAATTATTTAATTACGCAAATAATTATAAGGATTGAATTAATTAAACAATATTAAATATATTAATTAGATAGTTGTGGGTACAAAAATAATTTATGTTATGATGACGCTGTTAAACGCATTTCACTATACATATATGTAAAATGTACTATCTATTTAATATACAACACATCATACGTTACTCTTTTATAAACAAAACGAATTTTACATTTTACTCACTAATTCATTCTCCAGTGTTTACGGCGTTCTTCTTCTGATGTCTCTTCTTCTCCCATTTACTGACCACGTTGAGAGGATAACACATGATCGCCGACAATAAAATGAGTATTCCGGAGAGATAAAATGAAGCGTCGTAACTACCTGTTATTGACTTAAACTGTCCGGCCAATGGCGATCCTATACAAGCGGCTATCCCTTGGAACAAAAGCAGTAGACCAAATGCATTTGTTAATTTCTCCAAGCCCAGAAGTTCGGTTACCAGCACCGACCTCAGTGACGAAAAGCAGGCTGAAACATTATCCAAAATTTCCATGTAATATCAATCAAAAACGAATAAAATAATTCGAAGTGGTCTGTATTCTGTCGAAACTGCCAGGCGCGGATCACGATTTCGATCTTCTAGGATCTCATCAGCGCGTCGCAGACAGCTCCGACAGAACACAGACCAACCTTTTACCTGCTGTCTTAACAGCGCGTTTTAGAAAATACCACAAATGGCGCGGTAAACGCCATCTGTAGTACGATGCTACATTTTAGGATTACGTATGCTTCAACAAGGTCCATTTAAATGTATGGATATCTACTTGCTGAAACGAATCCCGGCGTAGCTAACCACAACGTGATAGGCACGTTACCATAATCGAATAAAATAATTCGAAGTGGTCCGTATTCTGTCGAAACTGCCAGGCGCGGATCGCGATTTCGATTTTTTCGGATCTCATCAGCGCGTCGCAGACTCTCCGACAGAACACAGACCAACTTTTACCTGCTGTCTTAACAGCGCGTTTTAGAAAATACCACAAATGGCGCGGTAAACGTCACCTGTAGTACGACTACAGACCACTTTGATTGCGGTAACGTGCCTATCACGTTGAGGTTAGCTACGACGGGATTCGTTTCAGCAAGTAGATATTCATATATTTAAATGGAGCTTGTTGGAGCATACGTAATCCTAAAACGTAGCATCGTACTACAGGTGGCGTTTACCGCGCCATTTGTGGTATTTTCTTGTCAATCAAAATATTTACAAAGATCAAGATCATCAGACCCAACATATCAAGACAAATTGTGTGTATCAATAAAAGATACGACGTGCAAGGTCAAAGTAAAATATGTTATTTTTATGTTAATAAAAGATCCCCACTGTCAAACTTTTTGAAACATCATTTTGTGATATGACTCCTTCTGTAAGGATTTTTAAAGTAAAATTATTCCTATTATACGTTCAAGTATATGTTTATACATATGTTGATGTTTATTTGGTATCTATGGTAATTAGTATGGTTAGGAAATCTAATTTGAATGTGTACGTTTTCACTTAACAAGAATTCTTCAATGTGTACTTACAAATTGACAATCCAAAGATCGTAGCATATGCAAACTGATACTCCGCTGTCATGGATAATCCGCTCACGACGGTAGCAATACCAGCCAAGGTAATAGCAACGTTATTGACTAGTAACGAATTAAGACTAGGCATCGAACTAAGAACACCGGAAATAATTCTGCCCACAGTATTCGCAATCCCAATGGTGGAAACCAATAAATACGCCGTTTCCTCACTTATGCCACTGGAAGTTGCACGGTCAGGTACGAACATGAATGGTACAAAGAAGCCCATCATGGTCACAAAGCCACTCAGGGCAAGAAGAAGGAACGTCGGAGATTTGAATAGAGTGAAATCTAACATCGTTGCAAGAGCCCTGCGAAATGCCTCTGGGCACAAGGTGCACTTCCTTTCCTTCTCTTCCATCAGATCATTTATCGTTGGTAATCTAGTAACTGACAAGTTGTATGCCATGGAAGATTGAGACGTATACTGAGGTAACTTTTTAAGACTAGAAGTGAAGAAAATGTCGTCTCGATAAAGGGGCCTGTTGATCGGAGCCTCATCATGAGTGCTATCTTTCCGATGATGTTCGGATCTGAATTTCAACAGGTCTTCCCTTTTCTCACTTATGGTATGCCGTCTGCCCATGTTAGAGACAACAGGTTGTTCCTTGCCGTCCAATAAAGGCAACTCCAAATGGTTGGGGTCTTTTAAGTTGCTTTCGGGAAATATCGGGATACTATATCGCTTTAGATGATCCTTAACGATAGGATCACGAACAACACTCCCTTTTTCTCCCACAACATGGAACACGTCGGGATTTTTAAGTATTTCAGCAGCCGTAGGATAATTAGCATTATTGTTGACACCAAGCATTTGGGGAATAGCAGAGTGACTTTTATTTATCGATTCGATCGATGCCAGTTTATATTTAGTCGACGAAGAATCGTTAGTAACTAAAGTTGTAACAATTTTCGGCGGCCGCTCTTCTAACCGTATGTCGGTCAGTTTGGTCGGTTTAACAGGTCTGAAATTAAGTAAGACAATAATAATTTCTGACGCTCGACAATAATTATCACCGGCTAATATGCCTTACCGAAACAGGAGCCCGAAAGCTATACAGGAAAATATAATGGCAGCTTCGGCTAACAGCGCGTTTCTCCAGCCCATCTCTTGGATCAAATAGTTACTAAATGGAGTCATTACGAAAGCCCCTATCCCAGATCCACACACGCCTATTCCCGTGGCTATAGCACGCCATTTTTCGAAATAAAAACCAGCTGTTATTACAGCAGGGACATAAATCAAGCCAAAACCAATTCCTGAAAGAGGAAATAATACAACCTATAATCAAGGAAAAAAATAAGTACTTTAAAATCGAGCATCGAAATTCAAACATTTAAGTTGCCGTTCTTGAAATTTCTACAGATTTATTTGTTTGTTCCTGATGCGCCCTTCAAATACTGTTGCATACGTGGTGACAGTTGATAATAATAACAATTTTTGATTCATCACCATAAGATTGTCAGTCCTAAGACTGGTTGGATACGCACTTCTACTCCTTCCTATCCTGAGCTAATCTTCGCATTTCCCTAAAACTAGAACATCCCACATCCTTAACTATTTGCGAACAGTAATCTAATCTAGGTCTACCTCTACCCCTCCTTACTCCTGTTTCTGCCTCTAATATGTCTCTGACCAGACCTTCATGCCGAAGAAGGTGTCCTTCCAACCTATTTCTATTTCTTGTTGACTTCCATAGAGTCCTCTGTTCTCCTGTTCTTTCTAATACCTCTTCATTTCTAACTTTCTCTATCCACGGTATCCTCATCATTGGCCGGTAACACTACATTTAAAACGCTTCTAACCTTTTATTTTCCGCCACTACCCCTTCCGTTCTAACTTATCTGACTTCCTAGATACCTAAAATCAACCACTTCCACTTCTAATCCTTTGTCTCCTATCTTTATATTCGCTTTTTCCCTACTTTTTCTTCCCTTGCATACCAGTGTTTTTGTTTTACTTTTATTTATTTTCATACAATACTGTTTTGTCAATAACGCTTCCATTTTATTTAAAGCTATCTCTAAATCCTTCTTGTTAGATGCTAATGCTGCTATATCATCTGCCGATGCTACAGAACAATATCTCGCATAGTAAATGCACTAAAAATAAGCAATCCCATTTGATTACCCATTCAATTTTTTAATTATTTTCCCCCTAGGTGAGGATAACACAAAGGTGTCTAAGCACATTCTGGTTTTTTAAACAGTAGAATTTTGAATACTATTTGGTCCAGTTCTGTCTTGTATAGTTGGTACCTACGTGTTGTTATTCATCGAGTGGGTAATGCCTACATAAGTAACGGGTAATATGCATATATGCATCAGGCATTTCACCTTGACCCACCTTGACCTTAGGTGCAAGTATTATACACCTGTATCTAGAAACCTAGATCTTCTCCCTGTACTCTAAAATTAGTGTTTCAATAGATATCATATAATTACAGAATAATTTAAGTTTTAACCAAGATCAACTTCGTTGTTTACTCTTAGAATTCATTTTAATCCTTTATCAGTAAACTATATGATTAGCTATAAAATTGAAATTTATTGTAACTATTGGCAAAAATGTTCTAAACAAAATAATCAACTCCAATGTAAATCATTAGTGTAAATTAAATCACTTTGGGTATAGATAATCCTATTAGGTACGATTTTCTTTTAGGTAAAGGTCTAGATGATGGCCCCCACCCCCTTCGGGGTGAGACCGCCACGAACTTTTTATGGTACAGTGGTGGAGGAGACCTCCTCTTTCTTTCGATCCCCCCACCCCTTTGAGGTGGGGGCCATCATCTTGGCCTTTACTCGACTTTAAAGTTTAAAGTTTCTTACCTCCCAGCAATCCGTAGGTCAACCACAAAACCTGTACATTGGGCGCAAAATGCGATAACACAAACGCTAAAGTCGCTATAAAGGTACCAATAACTGCCACAGCGCGGAACCCGTATCTATTCGCCAAGGCACTTGCAAAAGGCCCCACAATCAAATAACACCCCGCTAACAACGATCCCACCAAAGACACGTCTGATTTCGAAGCATTGAATTCTTTTTCAATGTGCGGCAAGAATGTAGAAAATGAGAAAACAATTCCGTCAACAATCATATTGCACATGAACGAACCGAACACCACAACCCAACCCCAACCCCCATCAGGTGGGACAACCACGTATTCGTCCTCACAATCCGAATTTGATGTCGCAGGCTCTTCTTCTTGCTTCGAAGTATCGATTACCGATATCGTTGTGGTTCTTGTCCCAGAGGGGACTTCGGTACTGTCAGAATTCATTGGGGGTGATTCTGATAGGGGAGTGTAAACGGTACCGTTACCTGGAGGAACACCATTTGGTGGAGCCATGATGAGTCTGCTCTCTGAAAAAAACATTTAATTAAAAGTAGCAGATTGGACTTATAGATGAGACCCAAAAATTCTCCCGGACGAGACCCAAAAATGAACATTATTGTCGTGGTTTATAAATATATTACTTTTACATTAAGTTTCCACTGTTTCGTAAACTTTAGGATGTAATTCTTCAAAGTAACCCCGAACATTTCCAAAACTAGTCCAATATGTAGCAAAAGGTACCAAATCACGCATAGTTATTTACGTATTTAAATTAGCCAAAATGCAATTTCACTGCCAAGTACCTATTTAAATCCTTTTAAAAAGATTTGCAAATAACATTTTCCTTCTGGCAATACAACACTTCAATCAAGCAATAATTTCTAATAAATTTTTGGTGACTAAGTGTCACTTTCGAATAATTGCAAAATGTCCATTTCACCTTAAATATAAAACAGTTGAATCCAAATGTTAGAGCGATTAATAGTCGCTGAAAATATTTTAATATTTTACTTCTTTTTTGCGAATAAGCACGTGTTTGACCTGATCAATTTAATTTTATTCAACAGGTAGTTCAAAAACCTTTTTCTTTTAGCATACAAATAAATCACTTGTTAAACAATGCTCAACGTTCTGATATGATTAAACTCTGAAAATAGAAAGTTTTAACTGCCGTTTTATGCATTACTAAATACATAATAAGTAGTTAGGTACTAAATTTTGAAGTTCATGTGCATTAAAAATTTAACCTTCTGTAATAACCTGCACTACACATACGTACTATATTTAACTACTCAATGGTGTTTTGGAATAGCATGATGCAATGTAGAAAGCTGGTTACATTATTGTCGAAAACGTTAAAAATATATTAAACAAAATGTTATAAATATATTAGACAATAGGTTATTGCTATTAAAGCAGACGCATAGAATTTCCAATAAAAAAATAATAAAATCTACTTAAGTAAGAAAGCAAAAGGAATTACAAACACTTGTGCTTCAAACCGAAAATCGATTACAGTTTACAAAATGCGTATGTGCTGATTATTTTCAAAATCACCTACGTTATCACATCATTAAAAAAATACAAAACCTATACTCAAAAGAAATTATATCGATTAACAATACTTTTTTTAGATATTTAGATAATTAATTAGAGAAGAGATAAATTAAATAAAAACTGTATCGTACCCAATAATCTCACTAGAGAGTCACAAATTGCACTGTCCGACTTCATAATTGTTAATAAAAAAAATATGTTCAAATATGTGATTTGTGCACTTTGCGCAAAGGCAACGGTACCGCGTCTACTTACAACTGGTAACGTATGTTAGGAGACAAGTTACTACGCTTGACAATCTCGTATTCAATAAAGTCAAACAATATATACGTTAAATCGTTAAATGGTGGAATAATTAGTTGTTGAATGTTTAGAGTGAAAACGGCTGTTCGTACCGCAACCCGAAGAAGAAGAACAACTGCTAATAGCTAGGTACTAGGTACTAAAACCTGTTCACGTTTAAAGCACTAACACTGAACGCTGATTTGCTGATTATAAAGTTACTTTACAAGCACAGGATGTCGTAGATACGAAAATCCAAGTTTAAAAATAGCATTCCGGTTTAAGGCAAACGAGCAGACCGTTTAGATTTAGAATCGATTAACACCAAAACCAAAAGTTCCTCGTCTATTTTCGTGGTGTTCACATCCATACTATTGATTTAAAGATTTCCAGTTTTTTTCTCGTACTAAAGCAAACCTCTGTATGATATTTAAAAAAAATGCAAACACGATGTAACAAATAATCATCTTTAATCGTATGTAATTTCAAGAAGTGACCGCTAAAAAAAGAAATTTGGCTTTTACTGATTCATTAAAAAATTAAAGATTCCTGGAAGAATATTCCAAAATCCTTAATTTTTGCATCAGACTAGGATTTTTGTTTCTTTTTACTGTGTTAAGAGGCCGCTCTAGTTTGATTAACATACCGTTCTTCTTCGTGTTAAGAAACGTATTGGGCATTGTTTGACGAAAACTTGACCCAGTATCGATAAATCTATGTTTGATTTCCCACTACTGGTCCAAATTTTGGGCCTACCATCTACTCCGGTATTTCCTAGAAGGAAATGTACATCCTTGTCTGACTCTATTCCTGATATTTACTTCACTACAATGTTGAACTACCTACATGTTACTTTTTATGCTTCATCACTTTTCCATCCCTATAAATCATCCCTAAATTTTTAAGAACCTATTTGTAGCATTTGTACCATTTACCATTACCAATTTCCAGTTTTGAAAATTATTTTTAATAGGATCAGTCGGTCTTCACATCTGTTTATTATTCCCATGCATTCAACCAAATGCTTTCTTTCATCACATCCCCCTAGCATATGCACCAATGTTTCGTCACCACTTTCACATATTCTGTATATCATTTCTTCCCTCTTTGTCCAATACTGCACTCTCTATTTTCATTTTCTACTTTAAATCTTTCTGCTACGTCCAAGTTTTTCTTCCATTTCAAATAATCTGGATCAGTCTCACCCTGCCAATACTCCCATAGCACATCTTTTGACTTGTCAATTAATTGTAGGTCATCCCCCTTCCTCCTTATTATTTCCCTACATCTTATTTTCGCCGTTTTTTCTACACACATATCCATACTGCATCCATTCATTTAATTGCTCCTGATTCAGCTTTAACTCCCCTAGATGTTTCTCCCTTTCTTTATCGTATCGACTTTTTATACGGATGCGAAACATGGATGGCGGGCGCAGCGAAAAGAAAAGGTTAGAAGCGTTCGAAATGTGGTGTTACCGGCGAATGATGAGGATACCGTGGATAGAGAAGGTTAGAATTGAAGAGGTATTAGAAAGAACAGGAGAACAGAGGACTCTATGGAAGTCAACAAGAAATAGGGCACCTCCTCAGGCATGAAGGTCTTGTCAGAGACATATAAGATGCAGAAACAGGAGTTAAAATGAGTAGAAGTAGACCTAGAGTTAGAATTAGTTAAAGACGTTGGAAAAGTAGTAGTAGTAGTGTCCAGCCAATCTTAAGACTGACGACCTTATGATGATGATGATAATATTTAATGTTACTATTTAATAACGGTCAGTAAAAATTAATTATTTAACGATCACAGCAGGTATGCAATACATTGTCTATCTATCGATTTTTCTCTAAGAGATACACTTTAAAAACACCTGTCCCAATAACAAGGAATAGTCAATTAAAAAGATAATAATGTAGACATTATATGACCTTGGCACACCCTTAAAGTTGCGTAACCCGATCGTGTACATAATCGCCTGACATTTTAAATTATACTAGGTAAATAAAAAATAATTTGCCCAATTTCATACAGACACAAAACAATGGAAAAAACCAAGCCATTTGTTACACCACAAAGATTTATCCTAAAATTATTACCATAAGTAATTAAATCAACATAGTACATAGCATCTACTAGTGTTGCAAAATAATCTTTCAGACACATCTGTAACTGAGAAAATACATCCAACACGAAAAAAAAGTAGTATTTGTAGATTATGGAAATCAATAAATAACCTATGTTGCTTATTTCTTATTGACGTCCATAGAGTCTTCTGTTCTCCTGTTCTTTCTAATACCTCTTCATTTCTAACTTTCTCTATCCACGGTATCCTCATCATTCGCCGGTAACACCTCATTTCGAACGCAACTAACCTTTTCTCTTCCGTTATGCCCACCGTTCATGTTTCGCACCAGTACAGAGCCGCGCTCTACTCCTTCCGTCCTGGTTCTTCTAATTTTCCATCTCGTATCTTTATATTCGCTCTTATAAATGTGAATGATTATAATTGTATTTTATTGTATGCAATTTCACTGAAAGTATTGTGAAATAGCAAGGCTATAACTGCCAGTTTCTTTTACTAACTAATGCGTACCTACTACTACTAGCAAGGAATTTCAAAAATACTTACTACGTTACGTGACGTTTTATACATAACAAAACGTATAAATGATAACTATTCAGGTTTGATCTCATGTAGTATTAAAATTACTGTATCACAATTCATGAATAGTGAAAGGAGTGAGAATATTATCTACCACATTCTCTAAACCAGTCAATAAAATTATTGACGTACAAAACTTCATCAGGATATACGATAATTCGTTTCTTATTAAAGAAAAAACATTGTAATTATTATTATTATTATTATTATTACTACCAATATGCATAATGTACCCTTGAACTTCTGGTTTAGTTTAGGTAATTAAAATTCAACTAACTTGTTCACAGCATTACAACTACATAAGCGTTTATACTAAACCGTTTCACATCTCTGATTATCTGGGTATATTGTAACTGAATTTTTATGTTGTCTGTTTTTCCAGAGAGGTATTATTATAATAAAAATGAAATAATTCAATACGACATTGTTGTTAACCACACACACAATTGCATGGATATTTCACATTAGCATTAAATACACACGTCCGCATCGGCTGTCAAGCAGATTTTCTTCAAATCCAACAGATCAAAAAAAAAAAAAAAAAACCAAGAAAGACTGTGATGTTTTGCATATTTCAATTAAATGGGAGATTTTGAACACCTATATCGGAAAAAAGGCCGAAAACGCCGCACTAATATTACTATAGTAATTAATCTTGCTTACGTCAACAGAAGAAGAACTTCTTAGTATTGAACTAAATTCGTTAGAAATGTATGATGAATTTTCATAAGAAGACTTTATTTTGGAGATTTTGCAGCAAGGTGCCCGTCACTTAACGAATAACGATAAATAATAACAGTAATATTTTTTTTTTGCTTTTTTAAACATTCAGTTAACTGTGATAAATATTTTAATTGCACTATCGTATTACAATGGGCGTACTGAATCTGCATTTAATCATTAACATATGTATTTTGTATTTGTAACGTAGTATATTAATAAATAAAAAATAACACGGAATTTGATTCCCGTAGTGCGTCACGTCCCGTAAGTTGTCTATTTTTTAAATAAGGAAATAAAAGACGAAAATTTACATTAATTTCTCTCTGTGATCATTCTAATAAATATTAAGTTCTAACTGAAAAATTTAAAACTGATTAGCATCGTCTAAATCGGTCAAAATTGGAAATATGCGGATATTGCAACAACAGCAAAATCAATAATTCATAATAAACTTCGAACACTTGGATATTTTCATAAACGGTAGAGCTACTTCAAGATCTCATGGGCCGCAAAATGCGCAAAAGGGGTCTTATTGCGTTCGTAGTGTACCTTTCAAAAACATTACCTCGACCATATTACTTGGAGACGGAACTCCATATAAATGTAAACAATGACGTCCAATGTTTTTTAAAGGTCATGACCCAAGAAATTTTGAATACTTTATTTATCTATTTCTTTCCCGCTAGCTACTAATGCTGATTTTTCTGAAGAGCAGGCAGTCCTACGATCCTCTAGAGATCGACATATCTGAGGAATGTTACTGACTCTAAAGGTTCAACGAAATCCACGTACAAACTTGAGCCAGTCAGGCGGACCTGGAATTGAACCTGGATTCTCCCAAATGTCAGGCAATTGTAAACCATTGAACTCGGTTTTTACTTATTTAATACTAATTGTTCACACGTACGTTTCAGAAACATAACTACTAAGAGTTAATAAATGACATCTGCAGAAATTTACTGCTAACTCTAAGTGCATTAATTAATTTATTGTTAAAGATATAATCATCTGAACAGACAGATGTCCTAATCACAAAATCGATCAACTTCAAGTATAAAAGCTATTGATATTGTTCTCACTCGTAATCAGTCCAACACTAGACTACATTAAGACCTTTGGATCAAACAACTAATGCTTAAAAAGATAAAGTAAAAGAAAAACAAGGAAATATAAAGTAATCAAATAATCGAGCTAAACCTCGAGTGGTTATCGAAACGGTTTTTATCGTTATTGCTTGTTGCTAACAATAAAATAAATAATAAGTGCAAGCACCAATTTGGATCAATATTTTTCGTCAACTCCTTCAAGCAAACTTATCTTTCAGGAAGAGATCTTTAAACTGGGCCAGTTCTCGATTAGGGTAAACAATAAATTTAAATATAGCAAGAAAGAACCTACTTACAAATATATGGTTAATATACGAGGGTGGATTGATAAGTTTCCGGCCTGACCAAGAAAAACAAGGTTTTTAAAAATTTTTTTTTTTTATTTCTCAACATAATCTCCTCCAAGGCTGATACATTTCTCATAGCGGTGTTCCAGTCTATTAATGCCATCTCTATAGACTGATTCGTCAAGCTCCTCAAAATAACCATTTACAGCTTCGATTACTTCTTCATTGTCCGCAAATCTCTTACCGCCAAGCCATTTTTTGAGATTAGGGAACAGAAAATAGTCACTCGGGGCTAGGTCTGGAGAGTAAGGAGGGTGCGGCATCAATTCAAACTTTAGATCGTTGATTTTAGCCGTCGCAACGATTGACGTGTGCGCTGGTGCGTTATCGTGATGAAACAAGATTTTTTTCTTCGCCAGATGAGGTCGTTTAATTTTCACCTCGTGGCTCAAACG